CATCTGGTTTGGTATATTTTCCTGGAATGTACTACTCTGTGGGGTCAATGCCTATGATATGTAATCCTATCACGGGACAGTATGTGAACCTACCTAAACATATCGAGAACTTTACCCCGAAAACTTTTTTAGGGTTTGATCCAATTGAAAAAAAGTTCAAGGTGTTGGTAAAGAATTATGACAGGGATCATGAAATTCTGACATTAGGAGTTCCAACACTTGGGTGGAGGAAAAAGATCGATTGTTCACGAGACTTTAAACGCTACGCTAATGGGATATGCATCAATGGAGTTTTATATTACTTAGCTTATGGCAAGTTAGACGTAATTGTAGTTTGCTTTGATGTTAGGTCTGAGGAATTCAGGGTTATTAAAGCAGAATGCTTTTGTGATGAGTCTCCAATTAGATTAATAAACTATAAGGGTAAATTAGGTGGGGTTACTTGGGATTATAGAGACATTGGTGCCACTGAGCTGCGTATGTGGGTTCTACATGATGTCGAGAAACAAGAATGGTCCGAGTATGTCTACCCTTTTCCTGATGATGAAGTCTATAATCTAGATGGATTTGGCGTTGTTGGAATGACTGCTAGAGGTGAAATTGTCTTTTCGAGGATGGGTGGTTCTGAACCGTTTTATCTTTTCTACTTCAGTCCAGAAAAGAACACTTTAAAAAGAGTTGAAATCCAAGGTTTTGGTGAGAATGTTAGTTTTTGTAGAGTCTTTGTAGACCATGTGGAGGATTTTAACTTTTTAAGAATAGAGTAGTTTTGGCTGTGTTATTGTGACTTTTCTCATCTCCAAGGCTGTTGTTGTGAGCTCTTATCATTTTATTGGCTTATCATATACTTTCTATCGGGTTTTCATCTTCAGTGATCTACTTGTATTGCACGTGACTTAATGTCATTATGATTACATGTCTCGTTTGCTACTAGCAGCTCTAATCATAGCAAGACCACCGATGACAATGTTCTCAACCCCTTTCTCTCGAAGCTAACTGCTGTATTTTTTTTTTCTGAACACAACATATTTCTGTTTTTTAGAAAAAAAAAGAAAAAAAAAAAACACAACATATTTCATTCATTAAACTTAACCGATTACAAAGATAAATGCAACATCTGAAAGTCGATATGCGCTTCTAATGGAGACTTCCAATACAAGACAATAAAAAGATAGAGACACAAGCTTGATAACAAGTTGAAACATAATTCGAAGGTGCCACATACGAGTAAGCTTCTAGAGTAATTACATCGTCCTTCAAATTCTTCAACGGAAATAGTCACCGTATATCGTGATGTATATGGTGACGTTGAGCGTTCCGTAACCTTGATTCTCATTGGAATGAGTATAGTTGTGTCTTTCGGTCCTAAACGAACCATCACATAAAGCATCAAACGCTAAGGAGATCGGAAATCATTGGCTACATAGCCAAGGAAAGAGTCCCCACGAAAGGGGATTATTACGGAAGTTGTCACTCCTACAATTAAAGTGGAGGATGATGGAAGTTGTCACGCTAACTGCTGTATAATTAACATTAATATAGTATTGAACAAAATAAGTGTCGTAAACATAAGGTAATGTGCGTCCAAGCAGCCAAATTAGTCGTTGGTTTGGTTGCATCTATTGTTGACCTGATTTGAATATTCATTTTACCAAGAGTTTGGAGAAATCTTGCACACAAACAAAAGCCAAAGCTTTTTCTCAATAACTGAAAGAACATAAATTAATATGCAAATCAAACAACAAACAAAGAAATATCAAAGCTGAGATTTGGCTTCAGTTGACAACTCCAAGTCTTATCTTTGGATCATGACTCTTATACTTCTATGTAATCTAAAACATAAAAAAAAACATATAATCACAAGCATTACATTTCATTCCTTTTAGCACTGAGTAACGTCTTGTGTAACGCAAAAAAATACAAATGTCATAAGATTTGATCTTATTTGGTCCCTACGTAGCAAAAGCATTCTAGACATTTAAAAGTGATCTTTCTTCCAAATACTTCGTTTTTTTTTTTCCTTTTATTATTTTTCATTGTTACCTGTTATATAATAACCCAACTAGGTGTTTTGCCCGCACATGCGAGCTTAATAATATTTAAGTCAATTTAAAAAATTATCAAAATAAATGATTGTTTGAATCCAAATAATCCGATCTAAAATATTAAACTTATTTACATTAATAAAGTTATTTACAAATTAAAACAAATCTAGATTTTCCTTTAAAATTTTGAAAAATCTAAAGTCTATTTAATTTCTTCTTAATTGATAAAAAATATAGAAATCTATCGTTCAATTTGAAAATTGAATCGATAAATATACATTCAAAAATTGATCTTACAGAAAGAATAAAATTAGTTTGGATAATAATACAATATATTTGAATTTATTTTTGTCAAACACGTAATTTCTTTCTTTTTGAATGATCTTTGTTATTTGATTATTGTTATTTATTTCTCACGATTAATGTTTAAGGTTTAACTATATAAAATATAAACATAAATTTAATTTAACGTGTGAGTTTAGAGGCGAACAATAAATTCACGAATATATATCATTATATTATATTATTATATTATTTTAAATTGAAATAATGATGTATTATAATTTTTTCAATTTTCTCTTTTGAATTATATACAATTAAAAATTTTACTTTATGAATATTTATTTATGTGTTTTCTGTTTTTGATTTTTTTATCAAAAATATATTTTCTGGATAACAACACAATATATATAAGAATTATCTATTTATTTTATTTTTAAATATATATTTAGATTATGGATAATTCTTATCATTATTATTAATTTAAATCATTTATCTAATCAAATAATTATTAAATTCGTTTTTATTTTTAGCTGATTTATATATTTTATTCATTAAGGGTATAAATGATATTAACCACTCCAACTTTTAACGTGAGAGCTCCGTTGCGAAAGATCACTTCGCAAATAATAGTATAGATCTCTGAAAAAGAAACATATCATGCAAAATGTGTAAAGTGAGTATCTAAACTTATTAATGTTAATAAATTAAAAATAGTTATTTATTTAAATATTAGTATTTATGAAAAATCAAAACCACTTAAAGATTAACATATGGCTTAGAATATCTAATGAAAATCTACAAGTCTTTATTTTGAAATACTATTCCTTAATCCTTCATTTTCTATCTTTTCTTTTGATGTTTAGATATCTATAGAGTTTAAAGGAGATGCTCTTATAATGTCGATAAATAAGAGTAGCTGAGTGGGTTGGATTCTCTAGATATCTCTTAGTCCCATCATCAGCTAATTAAAGATTAACACATGGCTTAAAATATCTAATGAAAATCTACAGGTCTTTATTTTTGAAATACTATTCCTTTAACACTCCTATTTTTCTTAGCTGAGTGGGTTGGATTCTGTAGATATCTCTTAGTCCCATCATCGGCTAATTAAAGATTAACACATGGCTTAAAATATCTAAAGAAAATCTACAGGTCTTTATTTTTGAAATACCATTCCTTTAATACTCTGTATTTTTCTTTTGATGTATAGATATCTATAGAGTTTAATGGAGATGCTGTAAGGTCATCATCTGGATATATAATAGTAGCTGAGTAGGTTGGATTCTCTAGATATTTCTCTCCTCTTGATCGGTCCCATCATCTGCTAATAAAGCGATCATGAATAGAGCAGAAAATTCAGATTCCATCCCAATGGATCTCATTTTGGAGATACTCTCAAGGTTGCCTTCAAAATCAGTAGGGAGGTTTCACTGCGTCTCCAAGCTATGGAGATCCATGCTTAGTGGTCCGTATTTCGCAGAGTTGTACTTGACTAGGTCATCTGCTAGACCACGTCTCTTATTCGCTGTCTACGAAGTTGGTGGGGAAGTAGTACACTTCTACTCGTCTCCACAGCCTCAGATTACACATGACAAGTCGGCTCTTGTAGTAACCGCTGATTATCATACGACGTTCCGTGCAGACACTTGTTCCTATGCATCTGGTTTGATATGTTTCCCTGGAATGTACAACTCAGAGAATGGGGGCTTAATGCCTGTGATATGTAATCCTAGCACGGGACAGTATGCGAACCTACCTAAACAGATCCTGGACTTTGCCCCGAAAACTTTTTTAGGGTTTGATCCAATTGAAAAAAAGTTCAAGGTATTGGTAGAGCATTTTGAAAGGGATTATGAAATTCTGACATTAGGAGTTCCAACACTTGGGTGTAGGAAAAATATCGATAGTTCACGAGACTTTAAAAGCTGCTCTAATGGGATATGCATCAATGGAGTTATATATTATGTAGCTAAAAAAAATGGCATAAGAGTGGTAGTTTGCTTTGATGTTAGGTACGAGGAGTTCAAGGTTATTAAAGCAGAATGCTTTTGTGATGTGTTTCCAATTAGATTAATAAACTATAAGGGTAAATTAGGTGGGGTTACTTGGGATCATAAAAACATTGGTGGCACTGAGCTGCGTATGTGGGTTCTACATGATGTCGAGAAACAAGAATGGTCCAAGTATGTCTACCTTTTTCCTGATGATGAAGTCTATAATCTACACGGATTTGACGTTGTTGGAATAACTGCTAGAGGTGAAATTGTCTTTAGTAGGATCGGTGGATATGGACCGTTGTTATATCTTTTCTACTTCAATCCCGAAAAGAAGACTCTCAAAAGAGTTGACATCCAAGGTTTTGGTGAGAATGTTCGTTATTTTCTAGTATTTGTAGACTATGTGGAGGATTTTAACTTTTTAAGGAGAGAGTAGTTTGGCTATATGTTGTTGTGACTTTTCCCATCTTCAAGGCTTTTGTTGTTAGCTCTTATCATTTTATTGGCTTATCATATACTTTCTATTGGGTTTTCATATCCAGTGATCTACTTGTATTGCACGTCACTTTGAAAGCAAAAAATAATGTTTGGACACTAAAGTATTTAAAATTATGATTACATGTCTCGTTTGCTACTAGCAGCTCTAATCATAGCAAGACCACCGATGACAATATTCTCAAACACTTTCTCTCAAGGCTATCATGTCCATCCTCGACCCTTCATCTTCATCTTCATCACCATAGTTAACATTATCATGATGTTCTTCACAAACTCTGTAGTAGTCATCTCCCATGTCGCCGTACTGTCTCTTCATGCTCCCACTTCTTAGCCTTCTGGATTCAGAATCGTCAAACAATCCAAAGAAGAGACTGTTCTTGCAGCTGTTGTCTTCTGTAAAATGATAACTCAGAGAATTAATTGGATGATTGAGCACAACAGAGGAGAAGACAGAGCACACCTATGGCTAAGACCACCTCCGGCATCGAGAAACAAGCAACACGGCAAGATTTAACGTGTATATTGTCATTCTAATTAACATTTTTACCAAAAGAAAAAGTATATTGTCATTCTTTTATATTAAAAAATTATTAACAATTTATTTCTTGCTAAATTCGACAAGAAACAGTAAGTAGCCAATATTTATCTTTTTCAAATTACTTTGTTTTTTTTCATTTTTTCATAAGTTACTAGTTATAGCTTTATTAGGTGTTTGTCCGTGATTTCGCAGATGATAATATTATACGAAAAGTACATTGTATGTTTATAATGTTATAATTGTTGAATAATAATTAGAAATATTAAAATTTTATCATTTAATAGTTTGATAATAAAAAATTTCAGTATCTATCTTAGAAGAGTTATAAAATTTAAGATAATTCACCAACATAAATGTAAGTCACTAAAAATATTTTTTTTTAAATACAAGTATTATTACAATTGGTTCAAGTAATTGATTGTAAATTGTCTTTTAAATTATTTTAATACGTGAAAACGATAACCTTTTAACCATAAAAAATGTATTTTGTGTAGTTCCAAGAAGGTGGTTAGAGGCTTCTAAAGCTATTAAATCTTCGTTGATGAATTGTTTTATTTATGTTTCTGTCATTTGTTTGATTGTTTTCAATTTAGTTTAAATTTAACAAAAATTAATTTTTTATGTGTTACTTTCAAAAGATTTCGCAAAACAAAAGTTTCGGATATGACTAAAATTTAATATAATTTTTATATATGAAATAGGTATAAACAGTATTTAAAACTAAAGTTCACAGATAATTGATTGTAAAACTAATTTTTATTTTAGCACTGGAAAAAATAAATACAAATCTTAAACATCAACTATTGAAATTGTACGATTTCACCTATGAATGTATATGTAACAAAAAAAACTACTTAAATAATTTCTATTTAAAATATAAATAATTAGTGTGTTGTAATTTTATATGATTTAAATGACTTACTTTTTAAATAACCATAAATCACTTAAATTAGTTCTATTTTAATAGATAAGATAGTAATTGTGAAATAAATCTATATGAATTATAAAATCATTATAAATATACATATATACAATTATAATTAGATCTAGAAGCATTTACCATTTTTCATCTAAACAAAATGTTCTCAAAATTTAAATAAATAGATTTGATAAAAGTCTCATATTGATTTAGAACCTCTAATAAAATGATCTATAGGCTAGAATTGAAAAATGTTTTTCAATAATTTCAAAATGTTTATAAATGATTTATAAATCTTGTCTGGGTTTTTAATAACATAAAATTTCTAATAGTGCCTTATATACAAAAAAATATGTATATAAGAATATAAAAATATTATATTTATTTCTATAAAAATATATTGTTATATTATAAATAATTAAAAATAAATAATCTATAAAAATAAAAATAAAGTTGAAGAAAAATTATTTATTTCTTTTCTATAATCATGCAATTAGTTACCATAAATTATTAACTGTAATATTACTTGTGTTTTTGGTAACTTGTATTAATTGGTTGTAGAGTGTCTTTTTATTTTTAGATTTGATTATAATAAAAATTTAATAAAAGTCATCAACCAATTCAATTATAACAAATTTTTAAAAACTTTACATATGAGTTACATGTCAGCAGAAATCAATAAAGTAAATTCTTAATTAATGTATAGGGGATCTCTAAAAAGTAACATATCTTGCAAATATAAAGTGAGTATCTAAAATTATTAATGCTAATATATTTAAAAAATTTGTTATTTATTTGAATTTTAATATTATGAAAAATTCAAACACTTAAAGATTAACAATTAATGTCTATACACTAAAATCAAATATTTTTTCAAAAAGTTAACAATTAATGTCTATATACTAAAATCAAATATTTTTCTTATCTTAGAATAAATATATCTTTAAATAAGAAATCTAAATAAGGAAATTTATATAAATTAATTTATATAGGTTTTACTGAAGTATTATGTTAATACTCAACGGAAAAGGAAAGACAATATTATTAAACTGCGTTGTCCTTCTTCAGCTTCTTATCGAGTTCATCGGCGGTCTCTGCTTAATCCTTTGGCGGCGCTACAACTACATGCGTTTCCAATATTATTAAAAACTGTCATTGCCTTTTTAATCACGCCGGTTTACAATATTATTAAACTAATTAAATTATACAAGTTATATACTTAACCAGAAATTTTGCATTTATTTCTCGGCTTCTGCAAAATCAAATCTTATTTTTCCAAAGTAAGATTTGGGAAGTATCTAATTACATAATTACAAAAACTGTCACTGCCTTTTTAATCACGCCGGCTTACAATATTATTAAACCAATGAAATTATACAAGTTATATACTAAACAAAAAATTTGGCATTTATTTCTTGGCTTCTGCAAAATTAAATCTAATCTTTCCAAAAATCAGTTCACTATTTGTACAATAAAACTTCTATAGGACTTTGAAATTTTATTAATTTGTAGAGACCATATATATACATATTCTTATGCTTTGTCGCTTTCAGAAGGAATACAGCATTAACAGAGTTAAAATGCCCCTTTGCATCGACTCAGAAGGTAACTCTCGTTTCTAATTTTATCGTTTTGAAATCTAAATAAGAAATCTGAGTCTCTGATTTTCATCTCAGGTGACATGGAGATCTATGGATCTCCTGATGTTGTTGTCCGCAGATGTGCACCGGCTAAATCCCCATCCTTATACCGAACTCTTACACCCTCACCAACTCCATCCCCACCGCTCTTTTTTCCAGCTTCTCCTACAAATTCCAAGTCCCCCTTTCCACAAATTTCCCCCTGGTTCAGTTGAGTATTATACTGGTCGCGTGATCGAATTTATCCCAGCTCAAGATCTCAGCCCAACCATGACTCTTCCAGCAGGGCTCTGGACTCCTCGCCGTACTCCTCCACCAGTGCTCTTGACACCTCCACATCGTCCTCCTCAAGCACAACAAAGTAAATTAGCTGATCATATATGAATGTAGACTGGTTCAATCTTATGCATGCCTCAGTATGGTTGATAAACATCTTTAACTTTTTTATACTGCAACTATAGACATATGTGATTAAGTGATGGGACTGAACTTTGTTACATGAAATTTTACAGGAAGCGCTTTGTAGTTAGTTGTTTGCACTTTGCACTATTGCATATAGCATGCGTGATTTAAGTTCCAAATGGTGTTTGATGCATACAAAAAGCTTGTAAATCGTCGCAAAACTCTATGTGTCAATAATTTGAGTTGTTTATGAGTGTTTTTTTAACTTTTTTTTTTGTCAATACTGTTTTTTACTTTCCTCACTACAATAGATACAAACAGTTTAAAAACGTCTTTCAGATCTTTAAAATGATTAGAGAGGCTGTATGTAGACTAAAGATTTTGATATATGAGGAGTATATGATAAGTGTACTAAACACTTTTTTTACTGTATGAAAGATGGAAGTCAAAAAGGGGAGGAGTCAAAACAAAATGTGTCTCTTTGTGATTACCCCACATTGAAAAGTTAAATTTGATTTATAATCATGAGAGAACCGAGGTGAAGAATGTAACTTCAAAATCATACGATGAAACACTCTCAGATTCTTTACTTGAATGCTTTTATATATGACTCATGGATCATTAGCATTCAAGCTTCAAAAATTCACTACAACTAGTTCTATTGATATTAAACAATAAAAGAAGAACAATGACTGTTTGCTTGCAACATAAGTTCTGGATAAAAAATCTAAATATGGATTTTTTTTGTAAATTAATATCTCTGCAACTTAATAAAATTTCAAAATCCTAAAATATATTAAGTATTAAGAAAATATAAACATAATTTCATTGTGAATATAAAGCAAATATAATATATATTGCATAGAACTTGAATGTGATTTTAGATGTAAGAAAACTAAATCTTATTAAAAAAAAAATATTACTCCCTCCGTTTCAGAATGATCTATGTTTTAGAAAAATATTTGTTTATAAAAGATCCATGTTTTACATTTTCAATGTAGATAATAATGGAAAAATTGTCAATTTCAAAAATATTAATTATGTTTACTGAATTTTGATTGGTTAAAAATCATAGAAAATAGCTAAACACATAAAAAAATACATTTATTACAAAATTTTACGTGTTTTCTTAATAAATGTGAAAATTCTAGAATATACATTATTTTAAAACGGAGGGAGTAAGTGTTAAAAAATATAAATTTTACGTGTTTTCTTGGCAAGTCCTCCTCGTGGATTGCCAAAATTTTTCTCAAAGACTAGTCAAAATTCAACTTTTCGGTTCTACAAAAAGTTTTTAGTCTTAGTTTTTGTTTGTATTTCCTAAGAGTCTTTTTCCACAAAACTCTTAATCTTTCTTTTGACCACAGGTAGTATAAATATGTAATCTTTATAAAGAAATAAAATCAGATTGTTTTCCTTTTTTTTATGAATTTATCTCATTGTTCTTTGCTTAGAATATTTCTAGTTTTCTTGGTGTGGTTAGCGCCAAGTTAAACGTCTCTTTCTTGTTGGAACGGTGCGTCACATCCGGTAACAGATCGAGTTTGCTTCTTTATTGGACCTGTGAGTCATATTAGACAACAATCAAACACCCTTGGTAGTATCATTGGACCATCAGCAACCATTTCTATCACCATTCATCCCATCAGTTTTCTTTTCGAAGTTTATATCCCTATCAGTCCGATTGAGTGATCCTATCAAATCTCAGGACGTATCAAGTGGTATCAGAGCCACTCAACCGGTACTATTTTTTCATCATTTCATCTTCTATTTCCTAAACACTTCTTCTTCTTCTTTCTATCTCAAATCTGGGCCACTACTTTACCTATCGCCATTTTTCTATAAAAAAAAAAGAAAAGAAAAGAAAAAAAAAATATAGTAAAGTAAATTAAGTTAGAACTACATAATATAAAAACAAATTTTTTTCATTTTATTATATTATTTTTGATAAGTTACCGGTTCTAACTTTATCTCTAAAAAGTAACA